CTATTTTTCTGATTTTCTTGTTATCATTAAGAAATTCTATACAAATTATTTAGCGCCACAAAATGGTACTTGGCTCTGTATTCTCTAAAATGGGCAGTACTGGGAGGTGGGTAGGGGGTGGAACCAAGTGAAGGTGCTCGGAAGTGGGTAAGGGGGCGGAGACAAGGGACGGAGATGGGGGGGGTTCACACTTTTGCCATACAATACATTTTTATAGAGGTCCATACACCAGATAAAAAAGAGGGACAACTAATTGGGAAAGAGGGACATAAGGATTTGGTTACAAAAGAGGGACAGACCCTCCAAATAAGGGACAGATGGGAACTATCAGGAAACAATTATTAATGTGATCCCTGATTGGTCAAGAATGGTCATCACAGTATCTCAACCACACAGGCAAGGCAGCTTACTGGCTATACCTGACATTTCTCATGAAAGCTATGCATGGTAACGTTAACATTGTGGTCCAACCTTTACTTAGGTCATTGAATTAGAAGGAGATTTTTCATTGTTGCATGACATGTACTCTTTATTTCCTTTTCAGCAGGCATTCACCAAAGTCACTTCTTTCGGTGCCGGCTTAATGCTACGATAAACCAATTAGTGGATGTTGCATAGGTCATGAGATTTCATCTTTGGCATGCTATGGTCGAGTTATAATTGGTTTAGTAATTGGGATTTTCCAGATTAATTTGACTCAATTCTGACTATACAGTTCTGGTTAAACAAGGAAATTTCATATTACTGGTGCTGCCTGCCAGAAACTGATCTGAGAAAAGAAAAAGGTTTCATTATGTCTGTGAATTTGGTTGGTCCATGAGCACTTAAAGGGACAACTTCCTTTAAATGATTTCTTTGGTTGTGTCCAGTCGTATGGTATATAGGGTTTGATGTGATCCCATTTTTGCAGAAAAGTTAGAGGCCATGTATGCCTTCTTCTTCTTTTCACTTTCATTATGACATTACTTTACAGAATGGTCCTTTCCTCAATGATGTCACGTCCCCCCCCCCAGAAATAAGTTGACACTGAGTCATAGCCCCTAGTTTCTAGGGTTTTCATGCCTTAGTAATGTAGCCTGGACTGTAGCTAATAACTGCTGTGGAACTTCTTCCTTTGTAGCTTCTGTATTATCCTTCTACAGTGTGGACAGGATTAAACTGAATATTCATTAATGCAGAAGTGCAGCAGCCATCTTTAATAAGATTTTATTTTCAATGCTTGTCTATGGAGTGATACCAATGCAGGGGTACAGGCTTCTTGGCTGGGTCTGGACTGATCCTGAAGGACGGTGATTTGGCTGATGCACTAGAGCAAGGAGAAGAGGGCCTGCAGGCTGCCTAGTGGAAAGAAGAGGACAGTCTAAAAGCTAGCAGGGGGTCAAAAAAAGAGACTTGACTGCTAGCTAAGTCCTGCTATAAATTGACTACAGTCAGGAGAGACCTCAGAAGAGACTGCTCATGAACAAAGTATTAGTTTGTGATCAAAGACCAATAATATGCCAATGGACTTTAAAGTGGAGTTCCACTCAAATGTGGAAGCTCTCCTTAATTGCCTCCCCCCTCCACTGCCATATTGGGCACCTTTTGTAGTTTTTGTCGCTGCTGACTTTTAAGAAACACAAAACTGACTGGAACTCCGCTTCAAAGTAGAGTTGTGGCCAAGAATATTTACACATTTTTAATTTGTCCTCACTGACCTCTATAGCCATGAGCACTGTGTGGAGTAATTCATCCTCAAAATTTACAGTAAAACATTTACACTTTCACTTCCTCTCAGGAACTGATTCAGCAGCCTTCCAGCTTTTTAATCGCTAATGTAACAGAGAAGGTGCAGAAAGAGAAAACCACTTGCCTTAAAAAACCACTTCTCAAGTAAAATTTGAGGATGAATTTCTCCACACCGCCGCCCCTATAGAAGTTAGTGAGGGCTTGTTTTATTCACTTGTCTACTAGCATGGTCTAAAATCGGCAAGTTTTTAAACACACGCAAAGACTGTTTAAATCTGTAGAGCAGGTAATACACTTTCATGTGGAAGTGATTCTGGCGATTGTAAAGATAGTGCCAACCTCACCCAGCCGCCCTGCTATGTATCCCTGGCTCTACTGTCCCAACTGGGGACCCAGGACAGACATGGTGGTTGTGGAACAGAAGCAAACATAGAAGTAATGTGTGTATTACATCACTTCTGGATTTGGCTGCCCCTTTTCCCACTGCTGTGGCTGAGGAAGAAGCTAATGGAGCACGATCTATGTTCCATTAGCTTCACTGGAAGGCAAGGGAGACATCAGCAGTCTAATAGACTCTTGATGTCTCATTAAAGAGAACCTGTCATTACAGTATGCTGTCATATAGGAGGCTATTAACCCCTAGTGATAGCAGTAAAGTTAATTGTAAAAATAAGTAAATAATATATAAAGTTAAAAAAAAATAAAGCCACATATTATAAAATGTTTATTGTCCACCACATGTGCCTATGTACCAAATCGATGATTGCACTACAAATGTTACATATTCGGAGTGAGAGCAATAATTCCAGAACCATCATTCATGGTTAGCTCTAAACTGGCAACCAGTAAGGGCTTTTAGTGTCAGCGCTTCATAGGTGTCCACAGTTTAGACATGTTGGGTATCTATTTACTCGTTGCATACGCATCTTTTATACTTTGCCAAATAATTGGGTAATATACTGTGTTTGTGTGCACTAAATTTACTTGGTTCCTGTTCTCTTCTGACTGTAGACACATTAGGCGTTCCGTAGAGGAAGCATTCAGCCAGCAGGCGGTACTCTCGGGTCCTTTTAACATGTGCGCCAATCAGCCTTACCTGCTGATAAAGAGCTCAATAGATGAAGCTGAAATTTGCACAAACAAATGAACCAGTACAGGGGTGTCAAACTGGTGGCCCTCCAACTGTTGCGAAACTACAAGTCCCATCATGCCTCTGCCTTTGGGAATCATGCTTGTAACTGTCAATCTTGCAATGCCTTATGGGACTTGTAGTTTGGCAACAGCTGGAGGGCCACCAGTTTGACACCTGTGAGTTAGAACAATGAATTGTTTCTCCCCTTCTTTCCTTCCTGCCGTGGCCCTGTATGTAGTTTCAAGCAGAAAGAGGGAGGCTAAAGGCAAGCAGTGTGTCTGGTGTTTTAAAACCCAACTGCGTTTTTTCACACCATTATAGTTGTCCTATAATATTAGTCAGAATATTTAATAATAATATTTACTATAGTATCTGCGCAGTTTATCATAGTATTGCCTTTTTTTTTTCTTACCAGAATAAAATATAGCTTTAGTTTTGGTAAAGCTGAATTCCAGGCAAACATCTATGAGGTGGTATCACAATGTTTTGAGACTAGATTTGTAACACGCCAAAAGAGGGCAGCACAAGGCTGCATGCACAGTCACAGGGAGCACCGACCTCCATTGGTCAGTGTGCCAAAAGACATTGTCCTGTGTACATTGGGAGATGTACAACTGATGCTATTACCATGTCTGCTATTTCATCAAGGACAGAAAGTCAGGACAAAGAGCAAACGTGAAATTCTGCGTGAAACCCGTACACCCAAGTTTCATCACCGGTAATGATCCTCGACATTGTGGTCAAAATAGCACCAGTTAAACAGCTCCCGATGTACACAGGACGATGTCTTTTGGCACACTAACATTTGAAGGTCGGTGCTCCCTGTGACTGTGCGTGCAGCCTTGTGCTGCCATCTGTTGGTTTGTTATAAAACTAGTCTCCAAACATTTTAATACCACCTCGTGAATACACAAATAAAATGCTGTACATGGAAGGGATCTAATTTATTACCTGCCAAAGGATTTGTATTTTTTTTGTCCATCCTGCCCTGAGATTTGCACAGTTCCAGCCATGTCAGGGAAGGAGACCAGATTTTCCTTTGTTCCAGTTCAGTATAACTCTTAGGTCTTGACCCTCCCCAAGTCTGTGATTGGATAGTGAAAGGAGAAGCAGCAGGCTGATGAGTTCAACTCTCTTTTTCAGCAGGGCTGTGGATAAGTGGGTACCATCTGTCCTGCAGTATGGGGCCCAGGCTAGCAGGGGGGCCCAGGCAGTGTGAATTGGATGTGGGCAGGGAGGGTGATCGGCATGGCGGAGGGGGGCAATTACTGGAACTGATCCCCTGCTCTCTCTGCAGAAACTGAAAGCTGGCTCCTTCTCCTCTCCCTCCCGCCACACCGTTCACCTTCCCTGTGCACCATATGTTTCCCCCTTCTGCCCAGGCCCCCCTGTGTGCCCCCCTACCCTCACAGTGCTGCCGGCTTCCCTCCTCTCCTTCCCACCGGCAGCTGCAAGTACACAATAGGATCCTTCAGGATGGAGAGTGGGGGAAGGGTCCGGTAAATATGTCACATTTACCAGCTACTTCCTTTCTGGAATGAACACAATGAGAGATCGGTACAGATCACTCACCGTGTTCTTTCATAACTGAAGCACTGTAAACTTTATTTATTTGGGAGGGCCTTTTCAGGTTTGCTGTATGGGGCCCCGTGATTTCTAACAGCAGCCCTGTTTTATAGTACTCTGCTCTCTCCTCCTATTAGAAATTCCCTGATGCACACCTTCAGAACATCTCCTTGTGCTGCTCCTTCCTTTCCTAGTAAGAACTCTGCTGTTCTGAAATCAAGTACCCTCACTTCTTGCGATAAAAAAAATATTGATGTATTAATAAATACAGAACTGTGTTCATTTGCGCCTTTTATAGCTTTAAGTTGCCAGCCTGCCCATATGGAAGAAAAATATAGTTGAAATATATTTTAAAAATATTCTTCCCAAATATATTGACATATATTTGAAATGCTAAAATTTTGGCCGTATTCAATATATTTCAATAAATATATATATATATACTGTATGTTGAAATGCTTATTATTACAAAAAAATCTGAAGAAATATATTTTACCGCACCAACTGTTCAGTGTCTGCTGCCCCTCTCTGCCAATCCCTCCACTGGCTTCCACTCAGTGTCCTCCATCCCTCTCTGCCAATCCCTCCACTGGCTTCCACTCAGTGTCCTCCATCCCTCTCTGCCAATCCCTCCACTGGCCTCCGCTCAGTGTCCTCCATCCCTCTCTGCCAATCCCTCCACTGGCTTCCACTCAGTGTCCTCCACCCCTCTCTGCCAATCCCTCCACTGGCCTCCACTCAGTGTCCTCCACCCCTCTCTGCCAATCCCTCCACTGGCCTCCAGTCAGTGTCCTCCACCCCTCTCTGCCAATCCCTCCACTGGCCTCCACTCAGTGTCCTCCACCCCTCTCTGCCAATCCCTCCACTCAGTGTCCTCCATCCCTCTCTGCCAATCCCTCCACTGGCCTCCACTCAGTGTCCTCCACCCCTCTCTGCCAATCCCTCCACTGGCCTCCACTCAGTGTCCTCCATCCCTCTCTGCTAATCCCTCCACTGGCTTCCACTCAGTGTCCTCCACCCCTCTCTGCCAATCCCTCCACTGGCCTCCACTCAGTGTCCTCCACCCCTCTCTGCCAATCCCTCCACTCAGTGTCCTCCATCCCTCTCTGCCAATCCCTCCACTGGCCTCCACTCAGTGTCCTCCACCCCTCTCTGCCAATCCCTCCACTGGCCTCCACTCAGTGTCCTCCACCCCTCCCTGCCAATCCCTCCACTGGCTTCCACTCACCCAACGAATAAAATTCAAAATACTAAGAACAACTTACAAAGCCATCCACAACTCTGCCCCCAGCTACATCACCAACCTGGTCTCAAAATATCAACCAAACCGCTCTCTTCGATCCTCCCAAGACCTTCTGCTCTCTAGTTCCCGTGTCACCTCCTCCCATGCTCACCTCCAGGACTTCTCCCGAGCTTCTCCCATCCTATGGAACTCTCTACCCCAACCTCTCCGGCTGTCTCCTAATCTATCCACCTTTAGACGATCCCTGAAAACCTTTCTCTTAAAAGAAGTCTATCCTGCGTCTACCTAGTAAACCGCCATTTATTTCCTCCATCAGCTCATCCCCCCCACAGCTATTACCTTTTGTATCACTCAACCCTTCCTCCTAGATTGTAAACTCTAACGAACCGGGCCCTCTGTTTCCTCTTGAACCAAATTGTATTGTAACATTAATGTCTACCTTCATTTTGTAAAGCGCTGCACAACCTATATAAATCCTGTATAATAATAATAATAATAATATATATATTTTTTAAATATATTCTTCAGATTTTTTTTTCGTATAAAAAGGTAATTTTAACATATATTTTTACATATACTTGTAAATGCATTCCAAAAATGCAGATTTGTATCTTTAAAGACATACAGTATATTTGAAATGCATTTTTAAAAATATTTTTCATATATTTTGTATTAAAAATGCATTTCAACATACACTGTGTATATATATCTATATATATATATTTATTTATTGAAATATATTGAATACGGCCAAAACTGTAGCATTTCAAATATACAGTATGTCAATATATTTGGAAAGAATATTTTTAAAATATATTTCAAATCTATTTTTCTTCCATGTGGGTGAAGCTTCAATTAGGCCTACTGGTCAATTCTCAGACATCCCCGGTGGCTTTATAAGAGGTGGGGTCCTATGTCAGTTCTCCCCCATCCCGCTGGAACACCAAACTCCTTTCAACTTGCTGAGTGATATTGCATCTGTCTTCCTGGCTGGCATCCACCACCTTGCCTCACTCCATTATAAAGCGCATGGAATAAAAAGCTTTTCTAAGATCCTCTGTCTCCAGCTCTAGTCCTTCTTGTGTTCTGACCCTGTCCTTGTCTGGGACTCCGAACTCCAGGTCCTGTATTGTGATGTCAATGGCAGCATTTTGGGAGCAATGTCTGCAAAGTCCTATGCTGGAATTCTACACTCTCCGTCCTATTCACAGCCCTTGTTAAGCCATCATGTCTGTTTTTCTTTGAAAAGGGGAAATAAAGAATTGTTCTGGTCCCCAAAGGAAGCAGTGAAGATTGGGTTTCTACACAAGCATGCGATTTTTGGCCAGGATTTTTTGGGTCTTGCATAGTGTCTGCGTTATATACCTGTACAGAAGGGTATGTGCAGTGGGCTGTCTGTAACAGAAAACCTGCAGACGACGTCTGGTGGTGCAAAAAAAACTACGACATGAGCAATGAGCCGAAAATATGATCTGTGTTTTAAAGCAGCAGCGAGCTTTCAATAGAAATGATCAGGGTCCAGTAGTGCAATGATTTGGCTGTTTTTGTACTTGTAGAAGGCGATAACGTCTCCGGCGGTCGGCAGTGTTCGCTATTCCTAAGGGATATTTGGCAGCCCATTGGAAAACTTTCCTTCAAGCAGGCCCGGGCCTTTCCTCTGTGTCATAGCAGAGGAATGGATTGAAGTATCATCTGTATTGCCATAGCCATTAGCTTAGCTTCCATTGTTTTTAGCTAAACCAGACACGGTCGCAGATCACAGGTTTGTCTGACCAGTCAACACCACCTGAATGTCCCATAGTTATTGTTAGAGATGAGCAAATCGGTCAGGTTGTGTAAAAATTTACTAAGAAGCCAGCTGGTTACCCACATGGAAGAAAAAATATATTTGAAATACTACAATTTTGGCCATATTTTATATATATATATATATATATATATATATATATATATATATATATATATATATATATATATATATTATGTTGAAATGTGTTTTTATTACAACATAAATGAAAACATTTTTTTAATACATTTTCAAATATACTGTATGTCTTTAAAAATACAAATCTACATTTTTGGAATGCATTTACAAATATATGTAAAAATATATGTTAAAATTAATTTTTTTATATGTTAAAAAAATCTCAAGAATATATATAAAAAAAATAAATATATATATATACATATATATATATATACAGTCATGGCCGAAATTGTTGGCACCCTTGATATTTCTCCAGGAAATCATGTATTTCTCACGAAACGTATTGCATTAACACATGTTTTGCTATACACATGTTTATTCCCTTTGTGTGTATTGGGACAAAACAAAAAAAAGGGAGGAAAGAAAGCAAATTCGACATAATGTCACACAAACCTCCAAAAATGGGCTGGACAAAAGTATTGGCACCCTTTCACAACTGCGGATAAATAAGAATGTTACAAGCATGTGATGCTCCTGTAAACTCACCTGGGGCAAGTAACAGGTGTGGGCAATATATAAATCACACCTGAAAGCAGATAAAAAGGAGAGACGTTCACTTAACCTTTGCATTGTGTGTCTGTCTGTGCCACACTAAGCATGGACAACAGAAAGAGGAGACGAGAACTGTCTGAGGACCTGAGAACCAAAATTGTGGCAAAATATCAACAATCTCAAGGTTACAAGTCCATCTCCAGAGAACTAGATTTGCCTTTGTCCACAGTGCGCAACATTATCAAGAAGTTTGCAACCCATGGCACTGTAGCTAATCTCCCTGGTCGTGGACGGATGAGGAAAATTGATGAAAGATTGCAACGCAGAATAGTCCGGATGGTGGATAAGCAGCCCCAAACATGTTCCAAAGACATTCAAGCTGTCCTGCAGGCTCAGGGAGCATCAGTGTCAGCGCGAACTATCCGTCGACATTTAAATGAAATGAAACGCTATGGCAGGAGACCCAGGAGGACCCCACTGCTGACACAGAGACATAAAAAAGCAAGACTACAGTTTGCCAAAATGTACTTGAGTAAGCCAAAAGCCTTCTGGGAAAATGTCTTGTGGACAGATGAGACCAAGATAGAGCTTTTCGGTAAAGCACATCATTCTACTGTTTACCGAAAACGGAATGAGGCCTACAAAGAACAAAACACAGTACCTACGGTAAAATATGGTGGAGGTTCAATGATGTTTTGGGGTTGTTTTGCTGCCTCTGGCACTGGGTGCCTTGACTGTGTGCAAGGCATCATGAAATCTGAGGATTACCAAAGGATTTTGGGTCGCACTGTAGGGCCCAGTGTCAGAAAGCTGGGTTTGCGTCCAAGATCCTGGGTCTTCCAGCAGGACAATGACCCCAAAACATACGTCAAAAAGCACTCAGAAATGGATGGCAAAGAAGCGCTGGAGAGTTCTGAAGTGGCCAGCAATGAGCCCAGATCTAAATCCCATTGAACACCTGTGGAGAGATCTTAAAATTGCTGTTGGGAAAAGGTGTCCTTCCAATAAGAGAGACCTGGAGCTGTTTGCAAAGGAAGAGTGGTCCAAAATTCCGGGTGAGAGGTGTCAGAAGCTTATTGATGGTTATAGGAAGCGACTGATTTCAGTTATGTTTTCCAAAGGGTGTGCAACCAAATATTAAGTTAAGGGTGCCAATACTTTTGTCCAGCCCATTTTTGGGGTTTTGTGTGACATTATGTCATATTTGCTTTTCTGCCTCTGTTTTATATTTGTTCCAATACATACAAAGGGAATAAACATGTGTATAGCAAAACATGTGTTAATGCAATACCTTTTTGTGTGAAATACTTGATTTTCAGGAAAAATATCAAGGGTGCCAACAATTTCGGCCATGACTGTATATATATATAAATATTAGTGCGGCGAGCAAACTGACACTAATTGATAATGAGCAGGAACTGACTAAGTGACAATGAAATCACCAGTGACACTAATACAGTGATCAGTGCTGATATTATACACTGTTACTGTACTAATGACACTGGCTGGGAAGGGGTTAACATCTCAGGACCAGGGGCGGACTGACCATTAGAGCACTCAGGCACTGCCCGAGGGCCTGGGGTCAGTAGGGGGCCCCATGAAATGCCCCTGGTACCTTTTATAGGCTTTTTTGGGTGTCCTTTGAGTGTGGGCAAGGACACAGGGGCCCCATGATCCCCTATTGCCCGGAGGCCCCATGAGTTGTCAGTCCGCCCCTGCTCAGGACAATCAAAAGGTTAACTGTGTACCTAGCAATGTGTAATGCATGTAAAGTGTGCTGCTTTTACCACTAGCAGTGACTGTTTTTATTTCCCTGCCTTGCAGGGAGAAAAAAACAGCCACATCTCTGCTCCACGTACAGAGCCCTGTGTTATTAATAAACACAGGGGTCTGAACTGTCATTGGCTAAGCCAATCAGCAGGTCCCGCCCATAAATCATTATCTAGGATCAGCTGATCAGCTTGCGCTGTAGTCATTGACAGCATAGAAGGGGCAGCGCCTGACCCCTACCCATAAATACCAGATCACATACGTGTGCCCAGTGGGACCTCTCTACCACAGTAAAACTGCAGTAGGTGGTCCTTAAGTGGTTAAAAAAGGTGTGGATTCTTTCCTCAAAGAACAAAATATAACTGGATACTTATATTTATAGGTCTTAGCACCAGGAGTAGTTGATCCAGGGGATATCCCATTGCCTCCGGGGGAATGAAGGATGATTTTTGTTCCCCTGCTGGAGT